ATATATATATATATATATATATATATAGATACATATAATATTATAGTTGTATTTATATTTATATATTACATTTAATCTTATTATTATTTATTTTTGAGGAAAGGAATGTGTGGTATTTTTGCCTATGTGAACTATCATGTGCGACGGACCAAACGTGAGATTCTCAACACATTACTGGATGGACTTAAAGCTGTGGAGTATCGTGGTTACGATAGCGCCGGCGTCTGTGTAGATAACGCCAACACGAAAGAGCCACTCGCCTGTATTCGCAGTGTAGGCAATATTGAACAACTGCGATCGTTGGTATTTGATAAGGAACATGCCGCTACATTGGAGTTGGATACGGAGTTTGATAATCATGTGGGAATTGCCCATACACGCTGGGCCACACACGGAGTTCCGTCTGTTTCCAATTGTCATCCACAGATGAGTAATAATAAAGAGTTTGCCATTGTGCATAATGGGATGATTACAGACTTTATGTCTGTGAAGGAAATGTTATTGGAAAAGGGATATCACTTTGATAGTGATACCGATACGGAAGTGATTGCGGTATTGGTGGAATATCTCTTCTCACAGGAACCAACACTCTCCTTTGTGGAACTCACAGCAAAGCTTACTGGAATAGTGGATGGGGCGTATGCATTATTAATCAAATCCAAACATTTCCCTGGAGAATTAATTGCTTGTCGAAAGAGTTCACCACTGGTGGTGGGTATTCGCCAAGAAAAAAAGAAAACAACAACAACAACAGCAGAAGGTGTGAATGGAAATAAGAATGGTGCAAAGGAAAATGAAATTGTATCCGATGCCTGTGAGATTTATTTAGCCTCTGATGCGAATTCCTTCATTTCTTATACACAAGAAGTTGTTTTCCTGGAAGATGATGATATTGCCCACTTTCATGATGGTGTACTTTCCTTCTATACAACCACTTCTTCTACAGATGAGGAAAATAATAATAATAATAATAACGATAATGCTAATACTACTACTACTGCGAAGGTTGAGGCAATTCCTGTTAAGCGTACAACTCAAATCATTGATCATACCCCAGAGGGTTTATCAAAGAATGGGTATGATCATTTCATGCTAAAAGAAATTCATGAACAACCAGAAACGGTAACTCGATCTATGCATGCTCGTCTTGATTTCCAAACCTCCACTGTTCATATGGAAGGATTTGATGATAATGTACTCAACAAACTTCGAGCTGCTAATCGTATTATGTTAATTGCCTGCGGTACTTCTTTTCACAGTTGTATTGCTGTTCGTCCCATCTTTGAGGAACTTCTTCCCGGGATGAATATTTGTGTGGAGAATGCCCCAGACTTTATGGATCGAGAACCCACGGTTCACAAGAATGATCTCTGTGTGTTTGTTTCTCAATCTGGTGAGACTGCGGATACATTAGTATCTCTTCAACACTGTAAAAAGAGTGGTGCTATTCTTGTGGGGCTTACAAATGTGCCGGGATCGAGTGTACTTCGTCAGACGGATTATACAATGATGTTAAATGCCGGTGTGGAAGTGGGAGTGGCCTCTACAAAGGCATACACCTCGCAAATGATTGTACTTACCTTATTTGCCTTATTGCTCAGTCAATATGAGAGTAAGAGTAAGGATTATGAACGTATTCAGAAACGACGAGTGGAGATTATACATGGACTAAATGAACTTCCATCGGCGATTGGACATTGTTTAAAGAATGTGGAAAAGACTGTGAAGACTATTGCGGAGGAGTGGAAGGATGCGGATACGATATTGGTACTGGGTCGTGGTTACGACTACGCCACCGCATTGGAATCCGCATTAAAAGTAAAAGAAGTGAGTTATGTCTATACAGAAGGCGTTCATGCGGGGGAATTAAAACATGGTCCAATTGCATTGGTGGACTCACAGTCAAGAGTCATTGCCTTCTGTACACATGATCGTTACTTTGAGCGGAGTAAGAGTGCTATTCAACAAGTAAAGGCACGGGGTGGACGACTGGTGTCTATTATTACACAAAAGGATATGGAGATTGCAAAGGCTGCAGAGTTGTGTGTGGAAGTTCCAACAGTGGTGGATTGTTTACAAGGTGTGATTAACATTCTGCCACTGCAGTTACTGGCGTATTATCTCGCTGTGCGCCGCGGGCATAACGTGGACTGTCCACGTAATCTTGCAAAGAGTGTCACAGTGCAGTAATTCTCTCTGTTTGTATGTGTGGAAGTGTATGTATGTATGTATGTGTGTGTGAATGAATATATATATATATATTTACTTATGTGTGTGTGTGTTTGTGTAGGGTATGTGTGTATACCAGCAGAGTGGTAAAATGAACGAATTAAACGCAAGGGTATGTTGGGGTGGGTTTGTTGGGTGTGGGTATCCTTGTAAGGAATAAAGTTATATATATATGTATATGTATATATGAATATAATATATTTACTTATGTGTGTGTGTTTGTGTAGGGTATATGTGTATACCAGCAGAATGAAAAAACGAACAAGACGGAAGAATAATACGCAATGGTATTTGGGGTTTGTTGGGTGTGGGTATCCTTGTAAGGAAGAAAGATATGTATATATGTATATATATATGCATATGTAAATATATTACAGGCAAAGGAAAGATAAAAGAGAGCGAAAATGAAAAATAGAAAAAAGAGCAGTATAGTGAGGGAGAAAGTATTGCTAGGGAATAACGGAAAGTGTAAAAGAAAAACGAAATAAAAAAAAAAGCAAAAAAAAAAAAAAAAAGAAAAAAAA